TACACCAGAAAGCACAGAATATATCCCATTTCTTTATTTTTTCTGTCTACAACTACTTATCAAACATTCTTTAAGGCAAGAATATTGCTGAAATAATTTTTGTTTGTGGCTGAATACTGGCAACAGGCCAAATTAAAATTATTTGCAAGTTTCTGCACCAGACTTCCAATTACAGCAACAATATACATCTTACTGGATAACAGAAGCAGCACCATGTGACCCTGCAAATTCTATCAAAACAACTCAATTTCTGACTATTAACTGCAATAAACTTCCTATGAATAAAACATACGTAAAAATTCCTCACAGAAATTTGGTAAGTAATCTTCAAAAGTAAGGGAGATAAAGAAAATATTTAATTGTATACTGATAATTATGAAAAAATAGTGCTGCAATTCAGTGGGCAATCATACATGGGTAACAATTTGGCTCATCTGGACAGAAAGAGATCAAACCAAAGCAGGCCTTTTCTGAAGGATGAGAAAGAGGGGAGGCTTTCATCTTGGTACATTCCTTTAGTTCAGCCAGTCTTCCATGGCAAACCCTTCATTCATCACTCATTTTAATATGTCAGCCCACGGTGGTCAGGCTAAAGGGAATGGATAATATTAGATATTCTAATTAGACTGACTCTGACCACTTCTGTCCAGGAAAGATTTTTTGAATTAATGTCAAGAGAGTCTTGTGAACTTATGACCACACTGCTCAGTGCTGAGGCCTCCAGTTCCAGTGTCTCTGCATAGGGATGGCTTTTTCCTCTAATCAAGTCCTATGAGAAAATTTGGGTTACTCAATTCCTCTGACTCAGAAGAATTAAAATGGACAGGAAAAAAATAAAGATCTTATTTCTCAGCTCTCCCAAAAGCTTTCTTCAAAGATGCCCCCATACCAGCAGTAAAATCTCCTTCACAGCATACTGTCAAGATACCTGCAATAATTTTAAAACTCATTTGTTACTCCTTGTTGTTTATAATCCATTTGAAGCAAAAAGCTAAAACCTATTTCCATTAGTACTCCAACTCCTCCATCAGGCACACCATGCCAAGGAAACCACTTTTCCAACATAACATGTACACAAAGAGCATGAAACTCGATTTTTTAGATTAGCTGTGTTATCAAGACATATGGTTTGGAACTCAGCTGTACACCCTGGCACTAAAGGTATTAACTTGAAGGATGATGGATGCAATAATGAATGGAACAGCGCAGTGGAATATGCTATGGAAGGGCCCTAATTAGCAGATGAGGTAACGAGGAATCAGGAAGAATGGTGAAAAAGTGTGACATGACAGAACAGTAAATCTTCCTGGGTCATGGCTGTACCTGCACTCAGAGCTCCTCACAGCACAGCCTTGCATTCAGACTTTTCAGAAGCAAAGATGAGAAGGGGGCTCTGCATCCCATAAAATGGAGGCTGAAATCAAGTTAAGCTGGAGGAGTAAAACCTCCAGCGAAGGACCAGTGTAGAGAGTCATCACATGAGCAAAGAAATTATAAGGGGTTAATCATTCTATTATTAATATTTTCTGGTTTGACCACCGGGTTGCAAACCAGCAGAAACAGGAGGCAAAATTCCCCTGTGAGACTTTGTTACTTTGTTTTTAGCAACTTTCAAATGGAGATAGGGCTCCTCGAAGATTGATTTGGGCAATCCAGACACGATGAAAAAAGAGTTTGGATATTTTACCACCTTCTTTTCTTGTTCCTAGGTTGAACAAAACCTTAGATAAGATCAATAGTTTCTTTAGTTTTATGTTTCAGTTCCTTAAGGGTAGTTGGCTTATTGCATTTCCATTGATCACACAGACAGGGAAATTCGTCAGACAAACCATCTCTTTTCTCCTTTCATTTCCACCCTCCTCTCCATTTGAAATCAAATGATTTTTAAAAGGAAGCTGGGGTCACTATTATTTCTCATTTACATATCAATAGAACACAATTCCTGCCTTTCTGTCACTAAAGTATTTTAAAATTTCAGTCCAAGAGAGGGGACACACATTCCAGGGGAAAAACTCTTACAGCTTTTTTATCAGGAAAACTAAGTTTTGGTTTACCTCAGCCCTTTCTCGACCTGTAGTGAGATGAGGTACACCCACCAGCCTTATGCAATTAATATTTTAACTTCTTGTAGCCTCTCTACAGCTTTCTTGTTCTTCCTAAATCCTTTGGACACTCCCCATCAGATGCCTCTGTGCAGCTCCAAGTGCTGTACCTGTGTTCACAGCCAGCAATGCAGCCGCTTCAATGAATTCATTTCTTGAATTGAGAAAAAAAAAAAAAGCTTGAAATTTGGAAAAAACCTAAAGACCAGGTGTGGTGCTCTCTAATAGAAGTCTGACCACTGAATGATGCTGGACTTGGGAGCCTCTGCTGCATTTAACAAGATGTTTTAAATCCTAGCTGCCGTTTGTAGTTCAAGGTGTAAAAGTAACAAAACATGAGGGTGTGCTTGTCCAGGGGAAATACGGGATATATCCCTGCAGGGAGATCAGACATATGCCATTGAAAAACTGATTCAATGATCCATAGTTAAACAAATCTTCCAAACCAAATGTCGGAAAGCTTTAAGTATAGGATGTTGACATCTTCTGCCTGAGAATTAGTGTCATTCTACTGCTTAGACACACATCCAACTTCAGGGTCCAAGAGTGAGAAACTCGTGTTGAAGCCACTAGAAAAACATGACCTCATGTAATTAATTTCCAGTTTACAAGAATGATTTTAGGGCTCCAAGATACTTATGAAGTAGCTTTGGCTTGACAGATGGAAGCTGAGGATTAAATGGCATTTATGCAACAAAATCTTCAGTCTGTCAATTCCACACTTACTAATCCACTTGTTAGAACCAGTAAATAGGACCAACTCTAAAGACCACTAAAAAAAGCTGAAATAGCTTATAAGTATCCATTTTCTGGAAGAAATACTATATGTATATTTATGCAGCTCCAGTATAATCAACACAAGAAATTATATTCTATTTTGATACTAACAAGTTGGGTACTTAGTGCATTAAGAAAAAATAGTGGAAATACTTTAAATCTGCCTGATTCACAGAAGCTGCAATAAGTGTTTGTATTATCCTTATGATAGAGAAATGGTGAAGGAATTATTCATAATAGAAATATTGATGTAGCCTCCATCTTTGAGATAAATCAGAACCCTAAACAACAACAAAAAAAGCCTAAAACCCTCAAAAAAACCCAGACAAGAATATGTCTCATAAACACAACCCAATGTTCCAATTAAGATTCAGCTTTTCAAAGCATTCATCAGCCTCCAACTTTGAGATAAATCAGAACCCTAAAAAACAACAAAAAAGGCCTAAAACCCTCAAAAAAACCAGACAAGAATATGTCTCATAAACACAACCCAATGTTCCAATTAAGATTCAGCTTTTCAAAGCATTCATAATGGAAATTTCAGAACTGCTTTACAGATTTCAGATTTCCTTGAGAGCCAGGGGAACACTGGATTCTCTCACCAGTCACAGCCCTCACATGTGAACTTGCTCTTGTCCTCAATGGCTGGTTGTGGCCCTGATCAGTGTCAACAAAGAGGACAAGAAGGAACATAAAAAATAATTTCATACATTTTAAGAGACTTCTCTTTCTACTATTTTAAGCATCTAATGACACACATGAAGCAAGTTTGTTTAAAGGCCTCACAGATGCTGATGGAGAACAAGTCACTAGATATCGATAAAATCTGATGTGTCACTGGTTTTAGATCTTACTGTGGTTATCTAAGAAATCAGTGAAATCCTCCTCTACAGAGATCATTTGGAGCTTTGTCATTGATTTCAGTCAAAGTAGATTTCCCCCACTGTCTAAAAAGATTCAAACCCACTGTCTTGACCTGTGGTGCCTATTAAAAAGCCATTAGCACTTCTCAGGAGTAGGGAGCGTTAGATATAATTGCCCTGGGCATTGCACTCTCTTGATTTTAACTGTCTGCTGTTTTTTAATTCTGCCTTTCCTCTCCTGGAATTGGTGTGTGTATAGGAGAGCATAGTTAAAACAGCAGCTGAATACTTCCTGCTACATTCTACAGAGAGGTAAAAGGATTAGTATAGAGCTTACAAAGATAATAATTTGAATGTCTTATTAATTAATTGTTATTTGTAATAATGGCTCTTTCCTTAAGGGTCTTTCAGGATCCTTAACTGCTTATTAATGTTGTACAGATAAGGATTGCTCCCTAGTGGAAGAAATGAGGTGGTATGTAGAAGCCTTTCAAATGAAAGCAACAGGTTTGGAATAAGAAAAAGCAAAAAAAAAAAAAAAAATTAATCATTTGAATGAATGGAGAATTATGATCACTCAAATACAATTACCCAACTTTACCCTGTATGCATAAAAACTGCCAGGAGATCTCCCATACTGATGCCTGATGCATTTGGCACAAGTACAGCCCTTCCTACCAACCTCATTTGATGTGGAATTCTGGTCTGTCTAGGTCACAGTCTCAGGCATAGCTTGAATTCATTGACATCTGTCAAAAGTAGCGTTAGACTGGCTACCTCTGCCTGTGAGGAACAGGCAACTCCAAATGCAGGATTTTCAAGGAGGCTCTTAAATTTAGCCATTCAAGTGAATGCCCAGGCAGTGAGCCTGTACCAACAAGTACTCCAGTTAATTACCTGAGAATTAGGCTCAAAAATGTCCATATGACCTGCCAGAACTTTTACTACAAGACTGTGAAAGCCCTTGTAAGGGTAAGTCCCTAATATCGTCCCCAAAACACTCCTTTCCTCAATTCAGTACTTTTGGCTGCAGACTGGAGTTTCCTTTTATTTCCCTGCTGAATGAAACCTCAGAGAGAGACTCTACTTTCTTGGCATGGAAGGTAAAAGAAGGAGGGGTAAAATAACGAGATTCCCCAGAAAAGAAATTCTGGCTACATGGGTCTGGAGAGAGCTCATCAATGGCCAGACCCTCCATCCAAGCTCATGAGATGTGCATTAGGGAGGGTGGCAAAGGTTTTTTGAAAGGTGTACTCACTCTGTAGAGCCCGTGGCTGCAGCTGCAGTAGGTGCTTTCCATGGTGTAGCTCCTCAGCACCCCCATTTCCTTCCACACCACCACACGGGCCGTCGACGCCCGGGACTTCTCCACCAGGAAGCTGCAGCTGTTCATGACAAATGCAGGGGCCACTTTATCCAGGATTTTGGGAAGAGTCTGTGAGGAAATGAATTGCACAGATGTGCATGTGTTGATATCATGCACACACATACAGAAAGATCTGTGTTTCAATGTGTGCATAATCAAATCTAGCCATAGGTACTGAGGGCTCCAACTGGTGCATTGCCTCCATCCCATGTGAAGCCCTCAGATTCTAACATTTGTTTCATTCCAAAGACTAAAATGCAAAATTTCTGTAGACTTGACATTTCTCACTCAAAATCAAACATTTTTACACCAAATAGTTTGAGTGAAATGCTGAAGTCAGTTTTGGTCTCAAGCTGCTTCAACCAACCCACAGCTTCTTGTTGAGCTGCCAAGAGTCACAGATCAGTACCTGACACCCCTATTCTCCTCTCTTTAGCTCTATTCTATCTCCTCCCACCATAAATCCAGGGTCTGACAAGGGATTGAGCCACGGGAGGAATTTTGTCTGAAGCTGGTATAGAGCAGAGAAAGTGGATCTGTTTTCTCTTGGAATGTCACACGTTTTCTCTTGGAACGTCACAATGTGAAAATAAAGCTCAGCATTTAACTTGAATTGTGAAACGAACCAAAATATTCTCTTCCAGGTCCAAACAATGTATTGCACACAGTTGGCTTAAAGAATCACAATAAAAAGTAATAATAAAACCAGTAAATATTATATTTTAGCCCTGAGTGATTTTCTTACTCTCAAAATCATATTTCTCAGAAAAGTCTATAAACACGCCTGAAGTATCAAATATTCCATCAGTGAAGAGGCAACAATTACTTAGTCATTACAGAGGGCTAAATGCGTTATTTTTATATGCCATAAAAATAGATAACAGCTACGTAGAGCACACCTAGTGCTAATGAATAGACTGGACCATTAGATACACACACACGCCTGTGAGTTATGTCTGTGTGTGTCTGAGCTTCAGTGCTGCTACACCAATCACAACATGTGCCAAAACACCATTTGATCCACCTACAGGAGACCAAGCAAAATTAAAATGTTCATTCTTTCTTTTATGGCAGTTTTCTTAAACACCTGAGCTGTATGGAATCCTACAGAAGGAGTTCCCACATATTGCTAGTGGCATTTACCCTTGAATTTCATTCAGTTTGGGTAGTGAAAACTAAACAGCTAATTTCACTTTCCAGTAACCATCAGTTTCCCCAAGTAATTCAGAGGAATTGTTCTGTTCTTTTAGGCTTCACATCAATGTATGGGAATATTTGATTTGAAAGTGACTGAACAATGTTCTTTCCTAAAACATGCTTGATATGAGTGATACATACTTGGTTTAAACTATTTTACTAAATCTCTTGCAAACTACTTAACCATACATAACTTTCATTTATACATTTATCATTTTTAAGTGTATTTTGACCACAGCCATCACTGGTCTCCTCCACTTCCATGAGGTCCATTTTTCAGATGAAAAAACTGAGGCAGAGAAAACTAGAACAAAGCAAAAAACTTCACTTTAAATCTGAGACCACCTCAAGCCTCAATCTTAAGTCAAGATCTCCAGTGTGTTACTAAGAGCTGCAGCACTCTCTTTCCTGTGGGCAGACTGAACAGAGAAACCTTGAAAATTCACTTCTTGACTTTGATAAAGCATCCAACATTTCTGCACTGCCTTCAGCCTGCTACTTGCTGCACAGAGATCACAAAATTGTATGGCTTCATGCACAGCTTCCACATTTTCCTGGATTTTGACTGAGAAGGAATCAAAAATGTACAGCAGAACCATAGCACAACCATGAGAGCCAGTTAAACTGTATGTGAATGATATGTGCCCTTATCTGAACCCACACACAAAATTTTGTAAACTTATCACATCAAATACAATAATCAGAACCCTAATCCAGTTTAGCTTTTTAGAGCAATTCAAATTATATGCATAATCAATCTTTTACTTTTAATTAAATAAAAATACTGGCAGGTAACAGCAATGTCTCTGTACACAGGACTCATTTAGAAGCATTAGCAAACCCAAATTTAATGTTCTTTTCATTTTACCAGCATTCACTGGATTTCACACTAATGGCTCTTTCTTCTCTATTGATTCTTCTCATTAATTATCTTTCAATAATATATTTTGTGTGAAAACACATCCCTTTAAAGGATGCTTTTATGATAGTGCAGCAGTGTGACTGTGTTCTGTGTCTCTCACACAGCTGGATTTATCATGTGTGACAGCAATGGAAGCTGCTCCACTCACACTGGACCCTGTCCATAAAACTCCAATCCCATTCAAAAAGAATCGAGTTATATTTCTTTACTAATGTCCCAGCAGAGATTGCTGTCAAAGGGACCTGGAATGTTTATCAAAAGGTTGGGATTATGGTGCCAATGCTGTGCAAGTCACCCAAGGCCACCAAATATTAAAGGCAAGGAGGACTTTGACTCTACATTGCCAAGGGCTACAGCTGAATATATAACATAGGAGGCAAAGGCTCTTCCAAAACCCATAATTTTTTTGAGGTATTTGGTTTCTGTTCCTGTGGAGAAAAATCAATCATGGAGGGTAGATTAATTCCCATTACCTAGAGGAGGCAGGAGAGGAGCCTGTGCAAACAGTGCAGCTCTGAGGCAGGGCTGGGTGTCTGCCAGCTGGAATTGTACAGACCCAGCTTCCCCAGCCTAGGCAGGGAGGGGGTGATCCCTAGGCTGCATCTGCAGCAGGCACCCACCTCCCATTCTGTGCAAAAGCAAGGATTTGAGCCATAAAAACCTTCTTATGGGCCACTGCAGAGTGCTCCTGGACAGCCTTGGATTCATTGCAGATTCAGGTCAGGCTCCACGTGCTGACAGCAACATTTGAATTCTGGCTGTGCAGCAGAGCCTTCCTCAGCCTTTGCAAGCCCCCAGAATTCAAACACAGCCAAAAATGCCCTGGCTGTGGGAATCCTCCCTGCTTTCCTCAGGATCAATGTTTGCCACAGGGACCCCTCACAGCCAACGCTGGGGCACTCTCCTCCAGTAAAGCTGCAGGTTTTTTTCTGTGCAGCTCCATAAGATAGACATGGAAAACATGAAAATCTCATGGATTAATGTTTAGTATTTATGCTGAAGTAGCAAATATTATAGAGAGGTATAAACTGACAAAGACTTTTCAAACTCTTTCAGGTTTGAGTGATCCAAGCTGTAACTCTGTAATCAGTTTAAGGCCACAATTATGTTTTGGGTAATCAACGTTTTTTAAGACTAGAATTGGACGTATAATTATTTTTCTGAAGAAAACTAATTTAATATGAAAATATCATTTAAACAGATTTTTAAAAATAGGGAAAAAAGGGAAAAAAAGAAAGGAAAAAAAAGAGAGAGATGGGCAGAAAATCCAAAGGAGAGTTTGATGAACGCGACATGCCATGAAGCAGAAATAAAATAGACTTTAGAATTTTTTCTATTCCAAAAATTTTAAAAAAAAATTCTTAGGTTTAACACCAAACATTTGTTCTGGAGATAGCTTCACTATGATAGATTTGTTTGGCATCCATGGAATTATCTCATATTTTCAGTGGGACCAGGAGCATTTTGTGATGGAGAAATTCAGTTGAGTAGGACTGTGGGACACCATCATCTTCTCAGTTAAAATTACATAATTCCCATTTATTTTCATATCATGGGTAGGATGGTGAGGACAAAACTGTATGTATATTTAGGAATTATAAAACACACAAAAATATCTCTGTCCTATTAGCATGTAGCCAAATGTTATAGTGCATCATTTTACTGAAATGAAGTAAATAGCAAATACACTGACAGTAGTTGGGTCCCTAATATCTGGTACATGAAGATATTACATGTGACTCAAAATTCTCTGGAGGAAGGAAAGTTTGCACCCTATTGCTAAAATTTCTGAGGTGACCTTATCTTAAATATTTTAAATAATTTAAATATATAACCACATACGGGCTGCTAATTAAGGAAGGAACCAAGAGGACCTACCCTGTAGCCAACATCTTCTGTGACAACTGCTGTGTCAACCATGCAGCCTGCTTGCCACAAGGTCTCTTTGATGCTGCAGCCATAGAGAAACACATTCTTTTTCTGGGAGTGCCCATGGTAGTCACAGAAGACCTAGAGAGACAGGAAAAAATAAGGCAAAATGCTGAACATTGGAAAGGTTTCTTGGTTCTTCATAATATCCACTACTAGACTATGGTAGAGAGGTGTTAATGGTTTTTTTTAAGGTCTCTTCAGAGTAGCTTAGACTCTGGGCCATGCCTTTGACCTGTGTCAGACTTCATTAGTCACTTGTATCTTGCTTTATTTATTTGATCTGACATGATCTCAGGGGTCCAGAGTCAAGCCTAGTGCACTTCTGTCTGCAGCAGAAATAAACATGACACCTGTGAAAGAATCCATGGCAACTCAGGAACCTAAGGGTTCACGAGAACTCCTGATACCACAACAGAGCAATTTCTCAGGCTCTTTCTACTTCTAAACTCCTAAACTCCAGCTTTATCCTCATGAGACTTGAAATGTATGCCTTCCCAAATGATTAATCATTGCTTTGTCTTCTTTAAATTAAAAACCCATGCTACATAATTTTCAGGAAAATATAATTGTGCAATTGTATTGCCAGACCTTTGCATGAATTCCTGCAAGTCAAGCACAGAAAATGACCCATATTCAGGGCAAATAATCTCATTCCACACTAATTTATCTGTCTATCCAATCCATCTCTCATGTCAGCTGTCATATAAACGAGGCACAAGGCACATTCCCATTTTAGCGGAAGTTTTGATTGCCTTTATAGGCAGATATTGATTCCCATGGAAATGAAAATCACAATTTAATGACCCAAGAGGTAAATATTGACCCAGGTCTTAAAGAATAATCAATCTCAGTGCCCTCTGAGATATGAAGTCGATGTACACATGGCTGTTACATATATTCTCCATGTCTTAATCAGGAATATTCAGAAATCTGTCAATGAAAATATAGGAATCTCTAAAGAGAAGGAATTATTTCATTTTAAACCAACAGCATTCACTGTAGAGTAGAAAGGAGCTTCAAGATTTCACTGAAACTGTTTCCCAGGACTTAGGTTAGACACAAACAAATGTGTGTAGGAAGGTAGAGAAAAATGGACCCACATAGAGGTGGAAGAGAAATACGGGATGCAAAAAAATAGAATCATACAATTGTTTAGGTTACAAAATATCTCTCAAATCATCAGGTCCAATGATTAACCCAGCACTGCCAAATCCACCACTCAACCCCATCCCCAAGTGCCACAACTGCACAACTATCCAATACCTCCAGGATGGAGACTCCACCACTGCTCTGGGCAGCCTTTTCCAATGCTTGATAACCCTTCAGAGAAGGAATGCCTTTCTCATATCCAGCCTAAACCTCCCCTGGCACAACATGAGGCCATTTCCTCTTGTCCTGTCAGTTGTCTCTTGGGAGGAGAGACAGACATGCACTCACTGTCAGCCTGTCCAGGTCCCTCTGCAGAGCCTTCCCACCCCTCCAGCACATCAACACTCCCACCCATATTCCTACCTAAATACATACACAAGAGGGGAAAAACAGATGGAGAACATGAGCTTCTTCTACCAACTGTCAGGGCAAGACTTACCCTCATTTGCTTATTTACCAGCTCCACAGTAACTAAGTTTAGCTGCAGCACGTCAGGGAGTTTATTTATCTGGGAATTGAGCACGTACATTCTTTCAGCTCCTCTGACACTGGGGGGGCTGAGGCACACATAACAACCAGTCAGATGGACAATTATGCACATCCCATAACTTAGATGCTGCTGCTTCCTTTGGTTTCTGCCCTGTCAGCTTCCCTTCCCACACCACCATCACCTCCAGATCTTTTTGTGGGGCTGAGAGCCTGCAGGTTCCACACCTGGAGCATGTGAACAGCACCTACCCAGCAGCAGCTCTGATCCACACACAATTGTCCTGAAATGTCTCCTTCCAAAGAGCTGCATTTATTAATTCTCTTAATGACAGACATTTTTCCAGCTAATGTTTCATTTAAGCTACCAGCAATACACAGTCATAGCTCAGGTTAACCACAGTTACCACCTAGAATGTATTTCTATGAATATCAAAGAGAATTTTACAGCTTTTGTCTGATTTCAAGGCAGAAAACTCAGCTCAACTGGGTATCAATTACCTGCCAATTTACAGGATTACAACACACAAAAGACAATATATTATCTGCCTAAAATATTATTTATTAGAAACCACACAGGGATGATCAGAGAGTGGGGCTGCCTGATAAGTAGCAGGTCTATAATTCTGCACCTCAAGAAGCCTGCAGACAGGTTCTTAGTGGCAGATCTGGATTGAGACTCCTTTACTGGTAAAAGATTACTGAAGCCAGGTTCTGTAATATGGCAGCTGGTTCAGGCCATGGAATCTTTCACTGAGTGTCACCAGCTTCCACAGGAGAAGCGTCAGTGCCACTGAAAACACTGAAAATACTTGCATAGTGCTACATTTTAATTAATTAGACTGGATACTGCAGTCACTCCCAATGTTTATACTCAATTATTCTCTACAGCACATCCTTCTGCCTGATTTTCACACCACAGGGTAGCTTATGTCTCACCATTCAGCCAAGGCTAAGAGGAGTCTGAGCACCCAACACTGAATTCTTCCTGGGATATGTCTGGGCAAGCACTGAGCAGACTTGGCACCTCCCAGTGCTTTTTCTTCAGCCTGTCCTTCCATATGGCTGGGACACTGAGACACACAAACCAGTCAGACTCCCAAACTTGCACTCACTGGGATATGACTCAAAGACATGCACAATTTTTTAATCTATTTGAAGTTATTTGCCAGCACTGATTATCCTAAAGGTAAGGACTGCCTTCTAGCTCAAAAACAACTCTCCTTATGAGTCACAGAACCAGGTACCTTTTAAAATAAAAGAAAAGCAATATATAAAGTGGAAAGCAAGAAAAGCTGTTGGAAAACTGAACTTTTTGAAATTACTTCTCTTTTTTTGCGTCAAGTTTCTTTCTTAATAACATTGTGACAGGACATTAAATGCCAGTTTTGAGGTAGACATGCTTAGAGGTGTTTTTCCTCTCAATGAGTACATTATTGCAGGCTGTGCTTCTTTCCAAGCTTCATATAATCGCTTTGAGAGGCAGCAAACTCTGCTCAGAGCCTTCTGCTCCACTGGAAGTTCCTTTCCTCTTTTAGAACATCCTGTTCTTCACTAGAAATAAGGCTCTCTGCAATGTCCCAATCATCAGGATTCCCACAGGCAACAGGTAAGTAAAAAAAAACTCCATTTAACAGGCTGTTTTCTTGTTAACTAAAGAATTAAAGTGGCCTTGGTTTGAAGGGCTGCTAAAGTTCTTTGCTTTTCTCCTTCAAGCAGCTTTTATTTGCTTTGAAGAAACTGCTAGTATATCCCTAGGATAAATTAAATCAAATCAGGTCACAGAAATCATTTGGCTATCAGTTAATTTGGCTCCATGGGATCTTATAGGTTAAAAAAAAACCCAGTAAAAACAAACAAAAAACCCCCAACCCCAAACTCTCTTCTGCAGGAGGGAAAAGGCATTTTTGAGGATGTATAAACTAAAATCAATGTGTTCTTCAAAGGCAAAGAAAAATCAGTTTATGAAGTCTGACATGCAGTCTGTGAGTGTGGGAGATGGTAGGATCAATAGTCTCCCTTCACTCAACAGTGATGAAAACTTGTACTGAGTATTCAACTTTATGCACCTGAATATGACAAGGAGGGTCATGTACTAAAAGAGGCCAGACAGCAAATTACAGGGTAAAACAAGACTCATCCTATACTGTTCTGAACCAAAGGAAAATGTTGGTGACTCAATTTGCAATTCTGAGTTTCAATACTCCTCAGACTACACAGAGATAAATTTCAGGGCTGTCAGCTTAGACAAAAACTAAATTATGGAAGAATTCTCATCGAGAAGCCCACACACATTTTCACTTTGTTTGGGGCTCTTCTCACCAAACCCAGACGGACTTTGGTGCACTTGGACATTTCCTGCCTGGCTGTAGCTATCACCACCAAACCTGCCAGTCCCCGTATCCACATCTGTTTGTCAGCATTTGAAGCTCCTTGTGGTTTTCCTCCAGGGGTTTCAGAACTATTTTTTCCTTCTGCTGGGCAACTGAGCAAATGGGATGGATCCCAAACTCATCTCCTTAATTTATGGTAGCCCCCAAACCCAGTCCTTTCCCCATTAACAAAGCAGCAGGGAGGTTCACACACTCTGAGGGCTGCTTCCTATGTTTTTGTGATTGCATGGGGTTTAGCACAGTCCATTTAGACTAATCTTTTTGGAATTTCTACTAATGCTTCCATGAAGATAGCAATAACTTACTCATAATATTTAGCTTAGTTGGAGTACTTTGAGGGCATAAAGAGCTTTCCGAAATTAATTTTCTCATTTTTTATTCCAGGTATACAGAGATCCTGAAATTTAGAGTTGTTGGTTAGAAGATTCAATAGGTGATAAATATTCAAGACTTTTGAAACAATTCCACAAGATGAAAGTGTAACAGGACATGATGCTCCCAAATCACTCCAGCTCCCTAACAAAGCTGTTGACACAAGTACAATAATCAATCCAGTCACAGAATCACACAAAAGGACCTGGAAGAGACTCACCAGAGGAGCCCGGCCAATGCTGCGCAGGTAATAGAGGAGACCTTTGGCATGGTAAATTGTTGGATGCAGCTGGGAACTGGGGGTCAGCCACTGCCTGTTGAGGTCATCTCCACTCAGTGAGCAGCGAAGGCTGAAATCAGGAAGCAACACATCACAAACTGGCAAAACAATAGCTGATTCCAAAGCATTTCCAATCCTGGCAAGCCCTGGCACAAGGACAAGGAATGTCAATAGAACAGAGATATAATGGTTTTGAACATTGGGCTGGAATGAACCAATAATCCATATTATATTTTTCAGGTTCTTATAGTATATTAATTTTATTAATTTAATTTTATTTATTTAATTCCTTTCTGTCCAAGGTTCACATAATTGCTGTCCTGCAAATAAACGCAGTTTTTCACTTACCTAAGAAGGCATAAATCAAAAGGCCACTTAGCAAGAAGTCTTCTGAAACATTCTAAACTCTGTGCTATGAAATTCATGCTGCTTGCATAGAGCACAGGCTTCTCAAAACCCCCAGAGCAAACACGTACATCCAACTTCTACTCATTCTAATTGAAGACAGGCACTCAGATCTCATTGACCAATCTGAAACATGAATGTATTTAAATGAGATGAGCTGGGTGTCTCATTTAAGCATTTCCACTCACAAGAAATGTCTCTATCTAAAGCCCATCAAGGAGATCATGATGCCTGCTAGAGCATTATGTAGAACAATTACCCAGCATCTCTGCAAAGGCTGGATAAAAAGCTAAATAAGAATCCCAGATTTGCACTGAGGAAGCGTTTCCCTTAGTTAGTTACAACATATTCTGTTACTGACTCAATGATCAGTGGAAGATTGTGTAGGATACTTGACCATGTGGAGCAGTACAGCACTGTGCAATTTTGAAAAATTCAACTAATCTCCTTTGTTAGTGACAGTGTAGATCAGAGCCTTACACTCTTCAAAGGATTTGCTGTAATTTGGTTGATAATTTTCAAATCACAGCATGGTGATAAAAGTTAGGCATCGTCTCTCCAGCATATGAGATATTGTGGTAGGTCCTCATCATCTCCAAACTATCCGCTAGAATGCTTCTGGTGGCACTGCAAAACTGGGATGCTGCTTCTTCAAAAAAGCTAAAATATCCTAAATGTTGGATTAATTTCTAGCTATGGAGTTGCAACCAGCTTTGCTGCACCAACATCTTAGAACAAATTAAAATATAAATGTACTAATAGAGATTGGTTCTGCTATTGTATTTATAGAGGTTAGGGTGTGCTGCATGTGGTATCTTGGGCATTATCAATGCCTTGCAAAATGCTTGGGGAAAAAAGGGTTGCCTTATTAGGTAAGAATAATGGAGAACTGGTTAAAAATGGAAGACAAAGAAATAATGAGTCACTAAGAATATTTCATATATCTTTAATGTAGAAAAACAAGGTCTTTAATAACATCTTGGGGTTTCTGGCAACACCACAAGATCCAATCGAAATTTAGTCTAGTTTCAGTTATCTGAATTCCCTTATTTCCTCATAATCCATACTTCCCATGTTACTCACTCAGCAAATCAGAAAACACTAGCAATAGCTAACACTTGGGAAGTCAGCAAATGCTGCTGGGAGACTTCTGCCAAAAATTCTGCATGAAAACATGACAGTTTCTGTTGTGTTTTCTAAGGGCTCTTCGGATAAAGTTATCTTTAGGCTCACCTCTCCTGCTCTTCAGGACAACAGCTGCTCAGCTGAGATTAGCAGCTGTATTTCTGCCAAGGATTTGTGTGCCTACACATCTTTCCTTAGATAGGTACAATGCCACAAAGAGAGTCACTGGACTGCATAAAGAAACTCATCTTTCTCCAAAGACCAGCAAAAAAATAAAATCCAAACACTTCCTTGTCATAAGGGTGTGATGTCTTCCTCCATCACAGTTATACCAGGGAGCAAAACTAAGTGAGAATAACAACAGAATTTTCATTCTGAAGGGAAGAATGATAGCTGGACTTGTATTCCCATGTTTTAGTTTAACATCAAGAAAAAAATACCAAAAGGGGGTCTTGTTGTTTCAGACCTACAGAAACAGTTTTTCAATATTGTCATTGGTCACACCCCAAACCTACTATGCCTCCCTTTCCTGTGGGAATTGACATTAGTTTATGCCTGCTCAAACCATCCATACTTCCCTCTGCTAAAATGCCTTGGTACCCACTGGATGAGTCCAACAAAAATGGAGAAAAAAGCAGGGGAATAGAAACTGCTAAAAGGATTCAGTAAATACAGAGATTAATATTAAGCCACTGCCAAACTAAATTTTTATCTTTTAGACTAAACTAAAAGCTTCTAAAAATGTTGATTATTCCTTCAGCAAGTATAAAGAAATCCCATTATATGTCACATAAGAAAAACTCCTAATCAAGTCCATAACACAATTTACCAATTCTGTCGCTCTGACACAAAATGTGACTTTTTTCAGAGGTGACTATGACAAGACAATCCCCAGCTCTGCAGTTCACAGGTGCTGCTGTGCTTAGTATTAGTTTAAGAAGTGTAATCAAACTCTAAAACAATAATTTGGAAGTTCTTATGAACTGTTTGGAAAGAAGGTGTCATCGCTACATAAAGCCAAGAGCTTGGAGACAAAGTTCAGCTTTGTCTCTTCAAAGATTAACATTTCTGCTCATTTAAAGCTTTAAATATTAGCCCTCAGCTTGGCTGTATCCACAGCTCTTAAGGACACGTAGAACTCAAATTTAATTACAAGAGGCTGATTTTTCCTACCCTGCTCTGTCCTTCCTTCATTCTGCTAAAATCTGTTTACTTTTGAACATGCCAATTCCCTGCCAGTCCTGTTTCTCCTTATTCCTTCATTCCTTCTCCCTCTTTCCTAATAGTGATGACACGCACAGATAATGGCTTTGCCCGTTATGCTCTGCAGCCAAGGGTGAAGGTAAAATATTAAGCTGATTTCAAATGCTGATAGCAAATAAAGGGACTGGAGAGCTGAGACTGGCTTTGAATGTTTGGCAGGATTTAATGAAATTCACTACTCAAATCAAAGGCCTTTCTTACAACACAGTTCCAAGCTATTATATTTCCTTTAAATGCTTTATATGTCTTTTCTCCTTTGCAGCATTAGGAAGACTACATACCACCTTGGATGGGACTAGTGGCAGCATAAAAAACAATTGCCAGAAAAAAATCCAGTAAAAAATATCACTTCAGTGGCTCTATATAAAGTATCTGAAATTCTAATTTTTACATATCTTCAACCTAAGTGTACTACCCAGAGATATCTCAAATAATTAAACTGCAATTCTCTTGTTCAAAAGCCTGATCTGTTTGTTATAATCCTCCCTCCTCCTCTACTTTTATATAGCCAAGACATTTTGTCTTTGAGGGCAAAGTAACCTCAGAAATTGCACAAAGCTCTGCACAAGTAATGTGTATGGATGGAGAGATCCTACGTGGTGCTAACATGAGCCTTGATAAGGTCAATGGAACATTCCAGTGTACTGCAATAAGCTTGTGTCCCACACAGATACAAAAATGGCAGGGGATGAGAGACAGAAACACTGGAAAAACAAAACTGAACAGGGTTGTGTAGTAAAGAGATTTGGGATAAGAATAATACACAAGATATTAGACAAGAAAGAATGAAATGGGAAGAGAGAAAAGTCACTTTTTAAAGAAAATATGTTGCTGTGCTTGGAAGATAAAATGTTTCCCGGTCTCCTGTCCATAACAGATAAAAGGAAAGACAGGAGCCATCATATTGAATGAATGATGTCAGGACTGATAATAACAGCACCTGGGGCACAGGGAAATATAAAATCTAAAGGGATGCATCATGTTTGATATGTAGAGAGAAGCATCACCATTCAACGTGCATCTCAAAAGCAGACAGCAGTACCAGTGTAGGACGAGAGTATCTGTATAAAAGGCAGCAGGCACAAGTAAACATCAAGATGCCATTGAGCAGCATGAGGCAGCTTCAACCAGACACAGCATGCTGGACTTTATAAATAACAGCAGCCTAGGATGAAAACTGAAATATTTTTATTAAGATGTTATGGTCCTGCTATTCTGGAAACTCAGAGCAATATGGAGGGAAAAAAATATATAAGATGGATAGAAAATCCTTTTTTTCTCTTAATTTTATATTTTTCTAGAGATTAAGACTGGTGATGGGAGGAAGCAGTAGCAACAGTAAAGCCCTCTTTCATATTGTAATGGAGGGTGTCAGAAATGTTACCATTATTTTCTGGCTTGGACTCCAGCTTTGTTCAAGCCCATGGGCTGAAATCATAATGGCTACATTGCATCCTGGTATGGCTCCGTGATGCCAACGACTATTCCAGAAATGGAACATCACCAGAACAATGTAATTTTTGAAGGCTTTACAATGAAACAGTTGTCATCAGCATTACTGCAGTTAACTATTTATTTCTCATCCTTCTCTTTCCTTCTGACTGCAACATGAATGCTAAAATGTGTACAATAGAACCAGGCTCAAGAACAGTTTACCTTCCCAACATAAGCTACAATCTCTCTTATCTCTTTTCTTCAACTGTGTATTTCATTCTTAAATGCAGATCACACTCCCATCCTCACTTATGCATGACCTACTGCAACACTGATTGTCCTCAAACCTCATTTGCACCACATCTGGTTTTTAAAAAAACCAAACTGTTTTAATCAGGATTAAACATCACAGTAAGCATTGGATCAACAAAGCAGGCTAGCCCTGTTTAACTGGCCAGATGATTTAAAAAAAGGCCAAAAAGTCAGCTTCTCCTAAGAGATCCCCATAAAATACCAAACAATGATGTTTTTTCAACTGCACTGTGAAATTCTGCCTATTTATTTTATCACCAAACCTTTAAGAGGAAATTTTTTATTACTGTCTTCTCTTCTTTTTGTGGCACCTTACACACACACAATGCCAGACTCACATCCTGAGTGACACTTGCTGCTAGCTGGGTGCCAATGAAATGGCCTGTCTCATTTCAGCCAGTGGCTGCTGCACCACCCTCCCCTCCCAGCACTGATAAATCCATGATGCACAATTCTTCCTCTTGGACAAACACTATCCTGAGCTATCACTGCCAGTTTTTCCCTGCCTCCCTTCAGCTGAGCACTGATACT